AATTTTGTATGTTCATCTTTCAAAATTCACAAGATTCGTTAGTGTGTTTTTCTAGCAGAATGTAGAATATCTCGCAATAACTATGTTGTAAATTAAGAAAAATGGAAGATGTAAGCCACGAATTAGTACAAAAATCTTATTTCACATTTTTGAAATTCACACAATATTATATTTGCATATGAATATTTCTTATTGTTTACACTCCTTTATAAAGAGAATAAAAAGGGCTTGTAATAAAATTTATGTATGTCAGATTTATGTACATCATTATGTATATCATGTTCATTTTTACAAATAAAGATGCAGACAAATTATCTGTGTGAAATGAAAATATAAAAAGGGTCATTAAGAGTCGATGCACAGCTATTATAGCCGTAATTTATCACTGTCAAATAAATAATTTATCATTGTCAATGATACGAGAACAATTGAAGTCATATATATATATAAGGAACTATCATTTTGAAGGTTCGCAAAAACTGTTTTTTCCATTTTCCGTTTTTCATTCTTCCATTTTTTCTGCGAATTTTTTCCGTTTCTTTCCCAGGGGTGGTAAAAATTCATTTAGAAAAATTCACGCGTGTTCGGCTAAAAATATTAAAGTAAATTATCTTCAGTCACGTTTACTTCTTTCTGTAAAAAAGATAATTGCGTGTATTTAACCAAAGTTAATATGTTATATATTCAACGACAACATATTACCTTGAAAGAATTACAACCGGATATATTATGAACAAATATATTATTAGTATGTATATATGTCTTTTCAAATCTAACAATCGCATTGTGAGTAGCGCATGCGGAGAAAAAATGTAATGGTACCACGATGTGAGTGACAGAAGTGAGTATAATGTTAGTCGAGTACATGCATTTCTTTATTATCTCAGGTGAAGTAAACGTCCCTGCAATTGAACGTGTCCCAATGATTGAAACATTAATGATATATATGTGTTTATTAAGATGCTTATCAATAAATGAAACAAAATCACAAACTAACTAAACATTTCTTTTCATTTATCATCATCTTTTCATTCTTTTCATTTATCGTCATATATTGTTCCGTACATTGAGAAGCATCTTAATAAAGAAAAATACATCAATAATATTTTAATCATTGGGACATATGTGTATGTTCAATCACTGGGACGTTTATCTTACTCCTTTGAAACCGTAATAATAATACCTCGTCACCTCGGTCACATTACACTAAGCGGCTCGTGTGTTCAAACACACACACACACACACAACACACACACACACACAACTTCTCTTTGCTTGACATCGACTTACTCTCGATGGTTACGTTTTTACATACATGACAAATTGTTATTTGCGTACTATTGACAATGATCTAAGTAGGAATCGAAACATTAAGATATTTAATAATATAACGGTGTCAATTATTTTTATTATTTTTTATCTGACTTTATTAATCATTTAAGAACAGTTGTACTATTCGTTCTTTTATAAACGATTTATAGTCACATTATTGTATTTGTTGGATTCCGTATTAGTAGTTAATTGAATGATTATCTTCAATTATTAGATGTTAAAAAGTACGATGAAAATATTAAAGTAAATTATCTTCAGCCAATTGTGTTAAGGCTCCTGAGTACTCGCTGCAACAGTCCTTGGTTGACGACGTTAGAAGTGAGAAAACGCACGTAGCCAAGAATTGCGTTATACGTTTAAATGAAAATATATATCCGCATAATGACATTTGTGATAGATTCAGCACATTTGTAAAATTGTCCGGACACTTTTCTTTTCAATCAATAAATAGCAAATGGCAAAATGAACTTAAGATGAAACCTTCCTAATATCTTTCCTCATGATTTTGTCAATATTAATTTTACGATTATTCATTGATTGTTCGAATAAATGAAAAGTGTTCGGACAATTTTACAGGAGCCTTGATAGAACTTTGCATATATTGTGCAGATTCGAATTATATATTCATCATTCATCTCATAAAGATAATTCGGTATAAAAGAATGCGATATAAAATAAACAACAAGTCTAGCTTTTGTTTATCAAATATTTATGATCAAGACCTTATACAAATTTTTTCCACTATATAGTAGTTTTTATTTCCCATGTATGTCTCCTGTCAAATGCGGATGTAATACTGTAATATATATTCTGACAATTCGTTACGTTACCTACCTGTGTTCTTTATTTTATAGCTAGACTTGATATATACGATAGAGTCCCGCGAGTTGTCACGCATCCTGGAAGAAAACGTTTCGAAAAATTGGCCTTCATTCTGTCTTGAACGGCTGCGAGATTAGCTTTCCACGATACAAGTAAATCCCGTAGTTGCATCCACTGCGGACGACCGAAGGTTCTATGCATCGTGCTCGAAATTAACATTTTACGACCACGCTTGATCCATGCGCGCTCTTACAAGTTTTGTCTTTAAAACTACAACAGAGACAGTAGCTGGAGGGAAAAATTTGTCGCCAATCATTGTACACTCGTGTGTGTTATCGATTTATTAAATCTTTCAGCGTTAATGACCAAGCGTAGCTTTATTTTTCGTCGCGAGTTCTATTTGTGCAGCGGCCACAGTCTTCATTCCGTCTTGAACGGCTGCGAGATTAGCTTTCCACGATACAAGTAAATCTCGTAATTGCATCCACTGCGGACGTCCGAAGGTTCTATGCATCGTGCTCGAGATTAATACTTTACGACCCGCTTGATCCATGCGCGCTCTTACAAGTTTTGTCTTTAAAACTACAACAGAGACAGTAGGTGGAGGGAAAAATTTTTATATCTATCGAAAAATACTTTGTACATCCTATATTAAGTGGCATTAAGATTGTTGAATACTTCGATAACTCAGTAAAATATGATTCTACTAAGCCAGTACTGATTCATTTAATATACCCCGGCTAAATAAGATCTCCACTTGAATAATAGTGGGAACCGTTTTATTTATACAGGGTATAATTATCACAAATATTGCAGATGACTTTAAAGAAATAACTTGGTATTTTGATGATGGAAAAATCAAGTAATAGAATCGAACAGTGAGAATAGCTTACCGTCGATTATGAAACTTTCCACTTCACTTTCACCGATCTGCAGCTCTTCCTGTATCGTATCGAAAGACATTTCCGGATTAGTCTCGGCGAGTTGCATAAAGGTCAACAATCTCATCTTCTTCATGTTTTGCTCGTGATTTAAACCTAAAAAAGAAAGAGCAAATTGAAGAATCCTATCGCTTCAAGTGTTTTAATCTATATTAAACCAAGTTCCGTACCAAGTTGATGCTCGACAAATTCCTTGTGATGTTGATAGAAGTATAAATACGCCGGCAGTTTGTCCTGCACGAACACGAGAAGTAAATCGTGTATCAGTTCGCCCTCCAGGAATCTCACGGGTTTCAAGGCCAAGAGCGGATCTAATAAGAATGTATTCGGGTCTGCTAATGCAGCCAATATGCAACGTTGTGCGTCCTCTCTCGCTGCAGAAGCATTCTCTGCTGTATAAGTCCCTAAGAGTTCTACCATGACTGCTGCTGCTTGCTCTCTGAAAAGGATTATATATTTATAACTGTTCTTTAATTAATCAAGAATCACTCATTCCTTTTTGGACTAGACATTTTTGATATTTGATAATATTATGATAAAAATTTTTTCATTTAACTTCACTGTTTCTATTAATTTAATTTCACTGAAAATGGCCTGAAGCAGGATCAAAATGCATAGCTAAATTATTTTATCGACATGCTTAATTTGTCTTAACCTTTATGTTGAGGAACAACTGTTTTTGTCAATACAGTCGATTACACATCAACATTTAACTCTTATTTGCTTGTTTGATGACCTCTACTTTTATATTGGTTGTCACGATAAAAATAGTCACCCTTGCTTGCAGCTCAGGAGAACTTCGTGTAGCAAACGCAGTAATTTTTGCATTTGTTCATTTGATGGTGGAAAGGAAGCAAATTGTTGCTTCAATTGGTCTATTCCACCATACACTGCTTTTACTTGGTCGACATTGCGAGCTATTTGCACTAAATGGTAATAAACGTGATATCTCATTGGAGAATCGTCAGCCAGAGACTGAAATAGTAACCATAAACTGTAAAAATATCATTAGTTATGTCATCGGATTCGTACATATTGAAATACACATATACACGTATAAGAACAATATCTTACGCTTTTAGGCACACCAATCCTAGCTTATATCCAGGTGCCTTTATAAGTTTTTCACAAAATGCTAAAATAAGATTTTCCGCACGTTCCGTAGGTATCTAAAATCAAAGACAAAAGAAATGGAAAAAAGTTGCATTAATATTTATTACACAAATAATAATAAAGTATTCAGTAACAAATATACTAAATGTTAAACTCACCAGGATCATGATGGAAACGATATCATTTAACACAGATTCTATCTCACTTTCATTACCTTCTTTGAAACATGCCTCACACACTCCAATAATCTTGTGTAAGTCATCTTCTATACCTTTGGGAGATTTCTCTTCGCTGATTTCTGCACCGAGACTTTTAAAATATACCCTTAGCTCTTGTGCCTAGTAATAACAACATTCAACAATCAATATGCAACCCAATGACATTTTTATATTCATTTACATCAGTATTCATAATTTCTACAATGATTGTTATTTAATTATATAAAATTTACTAATAAAATAAATGCAACATTTTTATGTCAAGTATTAATTTTAAAATAACCTAAAAATCTAACAGACGGTAAGTTTTGGAATTACATTTTATTTAATATAATACATATGTACACGAAAATGAGGGAAGTGATTAAGTTTTAAATATTTGTCGATTTACCTGATCATCTAGCGGCAATTCCATAAAAATTGGTGGAACCTGCATTTTGATGAGAGATAGTACGTTTCACGTGGTAAAATCCGATCGTTAAAGCTATTGGAAATTAAATGAAAAAATAGGCGCTTACGTCGCACACGGCCGAAAGCGAATGCAGAATTAAGGCTAGTGTTACTTGCGTCGTATGATGAGTTTGTCGGATGTGCCGATTGGCTGTCGGGTAGAAAATTTCTAGGGTGCCTAGAGGAAACATCCAGAAACCTTAGAAATGCTCTATCCGACAACCAATCGGAACATCCGACAATCACGTCGTATGATGTATTGTAAAACCAGTATTAGACCATGGATTGGAGATTGAGATTGAATTGAAAATGGACCAATCAGTGCAAAGTTCACTAAATTCTACTAAACTTGAGTTTAGTTAACTTTGCACTGAGTGGCGAAATTCACTATATATATATA